AACAGATGATGTCTGTTCAGAAAAATTATGGATGATACATATTTGTGACATATATTAAGCACGCAGGTCAAAACATGCTTTCAAGTACTATGCGAAAATTATCATATCTGTGAAATATTTCAAAATGACAGACCTATTCTTTTGAAAAGTGATAGATCGCTCTTAAACCTACACTCATCAGCTTGTCTGAAGCAAGATAAGCTATGAAGAAACAAAAGTAAACTATCCTTTATTTTTACTCAAAATGACCAGTATTTCTATCATTTGGGTGCTTTAAAGATGTTATATATAGTTTTTTTCATATGGAAGAAAAATCCTATAATTTCCTGATAGAAATTATTTGCTATAAATCTAAAGCATACTCTTGTGATTTTGTCAGACTTGAAAATTCATCTCTTTAGTTAAGCCCTACTTTGAAATTTTTGAAAATGTTTCATCCCGGAACGAACTTTCTTAACACCCCTTATATATTTTAATAGCATTGCACACAAAAATTAATTAAAAATCTTATTTCTTGTAAAAGATATTAAAATTTCAAATTTTTGGCGGGTTTGATTGACACATCCTTGCACTTTCATAATTATATTAATTTTATTCTTAATCCTTAGGGAAAAGTGGCAATCTTGTTGTGTATAAATGAAAAATATTAATACTATAATCCAGAAAATTCAGAGTAGACATGTTCGAAAGCAAAACAAACACGCAATATATTGTCAGTCCGTGCAGTTGTGGTAAGCAGACTTTGACGTTTGAAAGCACCCGTAGAATTATAAACATCAACAATAAAAGGACTCGTGACCTGTTTACAAAAACTGTGTACATAATACGAGTGTGCTCGATTTGCTAAACTCTGTACGCAACTCTTAGTTCGGAATGGCGATCCTTGTGAAGGAGTTTTGCTTTCTAACATTTTTACTCTGAATAAAATCATTTTTCTTGATAAAAGTTTTAATATTTCTCATTAATACACAACAAGATTGCCACTCTTCTTAAGGATTAAGAATAAGGTTAAAATTTGTGAAAGTGCAAGGATGTGTCAATCAAACCCGCCAAAAATTTGAAGTTTTAATAACTTTTAAATGAAATAATATTTTAAATTAATTTTTGTGTGAAATGATATTTAAATATATAAGTCGTTATATTATAGAGAAAATACTGACTTCAAATCTGTGTCCAAGTACCTTTAAGTTTCATATGGATTAACCTGCATTCATTATTTTTTAATAATTTACGGTATGATACCTTATTACGGTTCATTTGGGAAACGTAAATAAGAGTTATCTTTCTTTATTTATAATTCCGCCATTTTACCTCTAATATTCCTCCCCTCTGTCTTCTTGATCATTAAGGAAAGTCATGTATAATAAAAATCTTTAAATATGAGTAAAAAATGAAGATGTAAATTAGTTGTTCTCCCCCTCTCATACAAACTCATGTTACCCCCCCCCCCTTTGGAAAAAGGAAAAATCTAATATTACAAAAAAGAGAGCGAAACATACATTGACGAATATCCTAAAAGAGCAGTTAGTGCCAATTAAGATGTTTCTCGATTATGTTTTCATCTCTTCACTATATACAGCTCAACAAACTTTTTAAGCTCACATGGTTTTTCGCACAAATTAAGGTCACATTGTTATAATATTATATTGTGTATCGAGACAACAAAATACATTTTAAAAGTATAGTGTTTAATACATAATTTGAGTTTTATTTCATTTACTGAAACATAATTCACACAAATCAATTTGTAGAACTTTGATATATTCATGGCTGAAAAAAACAACTTTTCTCATTTGAATTTTTGTATCTTCTTCCCAATTGAAACTGCCTATTTATCCGTTCTCTTGAAAGCAATAGCTCTTCGCAGAAAGGTAGACATGGATACAGTAAAGCTACTGTAAATTGTATTTTCTGTACATTTTGATTCTCTAACTCGGGGTGGTAATATTATTTTTCATCTGTTTGACTGATTTCTATCTTAATCAGGAGGGTTTTTTATGCGCCAACTTCTAAAATCTAGCATCATGAAAAATTAATCCCACTGCGAAGTTTTGACGTTTCAAACCGTAAATGCAGAAGAATTTTCCTTTTCATAGAAGGAATATACTATTTAAAAAATAAAACAATACTTTATTATCCTACCCTTTAGTGTGGTTTCCTTATGCAATATTATCCATTTTCGGCGCTGTATTTCGACGAATCCAAGAGGAGTATGGTAAATGAGCAAAGCTTTTTAAAAAATACTAACCTCTAAAGAGAAAATTTGAAAATTTCAACGACATGGGATCAAGGAAAGTTCGTTTATACAATTTGTAAAAACCCATTGTAGAATGGTATAGTCGAAACATCCTACCATTTATTTATAAATTTTCCTTTAAATCATCCACTTTGAAAACTTGAGATTATAATTTTAAAAGACATTCACGCTTGACATTATATATGTGATATAACGAAGGGTTATGCCATTGTATTGCAGTTCGAAAATAGTAATGTTTATTACAACAATGGGACCTTAATTTGTGCGAAAAACCATGTGAGCTTAAAAAGTTTGTTGAGCTGTATATGCACAATAAAAATATAAAACATGTAAACATAATAATCATCTTGTGATTTCAAAATTGTTTTTTTAAATAGCGTTTTAAAACAGTGCTGCAAAATATTTGCTATTGGCGATTTAATTGATTTTTGGTATGATTATGTTGATAACATTATTGTCTGGCATCTTGAACAAATAACTTTTTTATTAAAAGAAATGTTTAAAGTCATTATTATTATATTTCACTTACATTTTTTTTAAAAAAAATAATTGTTATTCAGAAACGTATCGTCAGATCTTAATCAAATTGCGTATTTGGTATTCAACATAAGTTTTCAATATGCTTTTTGGCAAAAATACCTGATACCTAATATAAAGTGTGTAGGTGTATAATGACAGGTGTAATGTAAAGAAATCATCCCAATCAATAGGCAATTAACAAAGCCTACTAATCAAAGCACGTTAATTTTCACCGTACAATGAAGAGCTTGTTACACAAGATAAATCATTGTTTTATGCCTTCTTAATACGTTATAAATCATGTGCAACTGGGCATGAACACATTATTGCCAGCGGGCATGCGCTGTGCGAAGACATGCGCAAAACAAGTGTTCTGTGCAATGTGATTTTATCTGGTGACAAAACATGTGTTCAATAATGTCGCGTGCGTTTTGATCGGCTTTTCATGCAAACAAAAACGTGAAAATGCATCACTCGTGGTTTATTTATCTAAATAAACCGTAGATGCATGTAATTGCTTGCTTCGGTTTTCTGCATTTTCTTTTGGTGCAATAGTTTAAATCTATTAATATATTATATTTTTTGATTGCTTTTTTCTTTTAATTGTTAACATAAACTATAAAGGTCAAGCAATGCAGTTTGTATGAATATTTAAGTAGTTTTGAACCGTTTCAATATTTTAATATTTTTCGTCATGGCATGCACTTTATAACATCATACAATAGATACAATACATATGAGTGTTTTTTTTTTAATGGATTTACCGTCTGTTGCTATAGCAGGCGACACAAATATCACACAAAATCATGGAAAAAATGACCATGATACTAATAAGATTTCACTAAAGTGAATCAATGTATTTTTACCATGGACTTCATGTTATTATATTCTATTTTCCTAAATTCAGACATATCGTGTAGTCATTTTAATAATAAATGGAACTGTGAATTGTATTTCTTTTCAAATTTTACAGTATTGCTGTTCAATGTGAGAGATTTTAAGCTTCTAAATCTAAAAAAAAGTTCAAATGTAAAGTTTCCTCCATGGCACTTGATCCCAAACCCAATGTTTCGGAGGTTCATGTTTGTTCTGCTTATATTTTGAATTATGTATAAGACTTTGAGCTTGAATACTGTTCGTTTTTCTTCATACGTATATTTCAAAGTAAATCATATATCAAGTTATTTCTTATAGTTAACTTCATTAAGGAAACATGCTTCTGTTATATTTTTAAACCAAAAAGAAGAGATACAAAAGACTAGAACATTTTTGTTTATATGTTTCTCAAAAATCGAACCCATTTACCTACTGATTTTATTTTTTTCAAATAGACAAGAATGTTTCATTTGCTGCAAGGATCTTTTAGGATAATTGCAGGAATTTTAAAATAACCGAGTAAATAGATAAGTGCTTTAGAGTACTTGTGCAAACGTGTTTTAAACTTTTGGTTATTTCCAATGAAATTCTTTTAAATTGGGACATCATTATTTGTGTTATGTTTTTTCTTCTAGGCATACAGCATTAAATTAACATTATTTCGACACATAAAATTTATTTCCTTCATAAGTTATAAAATAATATACAGTTGTAATGCCCTCTTTTAAAAATTGAACTTGCAGTCATCAGGATAATATAACAACCTACCATTTACATTATCTAAAAAGATGGAAATAAGCATATCAGCTTACATCACATAAAATAAGTAACCTTGAATCTTATAATACCAACCTCTGCTGCATTTTTAAGTCAATTTAGACAGAATATGTCATTTAGAAACATATAATTTGGAAAAGACAGCAGTCGTGGCCTTAATAAGCTAAACACGCATTTGAAGACACAGTAAACAAAAACAGAATGTATGTTTTATTCATGTCATTTAACACCATTTATCTAATAATAGAAACAAATCAGAGTTGATGATATGTTTGACCCCGCTCAAAGAAACATTGTCATCATTAAACAAAAACAAAACATGCAATGACGTAACATGACATAGTAAACATATTAATCAATTTAACACACCATTAATTGATTTCTAGTCCGTTACCTGTATATAAGCGAAGGTCACGTTCAAGTCTGGAACTTCGTTACTTCGGCCCAAGTGTCTTTTTTTCGTCCTTCTTTCAAACAGAAAGAAGGAACTTTTTTTCGAAAAGCAAGGACCAAAGGCATTTAAGCAACTTTTTTTTCGTACCTTTTGAACCGAAAAAACTCTGGTAATAACATGAATCCCACAATCCTTTGCGTTCTTGCTTTCGCTCTATCAGCTGTAACTGCAGCTCCGAGGAATATTTTCAGATCAAGCACGGTAAGCCATTACTATGTTTATTCGTTCATCTTTGAACATGTACTAAAAGCTTTTAATTCATTATCATTTTTAACTTCTTGAGATTCCGTAAAGGATGTGACTTAATTTGCAATGGATTCGAAGTTAAATGCTTCTTTGATTTATATATATGCTCTTTTTTGAAGGCATCCTCTATCGATGTCCTTGTTTTACTTGTTCTGTCAAGAGTATGACCTTCCTTTGAAAATTCCGATTCTGTTTCAAAAATTGGCAATATTTCTTTCGTCTTTTTCCCCTATATTTTCTACAGTTATACCACTTCCTTGCTTTCGGTACTCGCCATACTTATTTACATTCAAAATAACGCAACTTTTTAATTTTCTATTAAGAAACAATAATTTATAATCTCTTTCTTTATTTTTCAGGTGCATAAACAACAACCCGCATCACTGAATAGACAACATAACGTGCAAACGTCACCTCGAATGCAGCAGCTGCTGGCGCGCATGCGTAACCCAACCAAGATAAACCTAATCAGAAACAGTCCATCACCAACGAAGAAGATTCAAATCGATCCGCACAGCCGGACAGTTTCCATAAAATCCCAGGGTCAGCCTCATATAATACTAAAGAGCCGACGTAATCTAAGGCTTAAAATTCACGGAAGGAGAGGGGAACCAACCAAGGTAATCAATGTTATGTTCCATAAACGTCCCTCTTCACAGCAACAAAGAAATTCAATCATTCAACAGGATCAACGTCCTCTAATGACGTCATCATCAATGCAGAATTCTCTAGGAAAGAATCAAAATACTTTGAAACAAGCTACACACAAAGATACCCAACAGAAAAACTCACAGGTCTTACAGGGTCACATTAAAGGACAAATCGGACAGAATGTCATTTCAGCGAGTCAACATTTGAAAACTGGGAGCGAAACCCAAATTCGTCTTCTTGGTGAATTACGTTCAACCCTTGAGCAGTTGATTCGGCAGAAACTTCTTTCCTCTAACTTCCAGAAATCATCCACGGCTTCAATCACTGATAAGGTATACAGTAAGACAATGGAAACCATCAAAGTAACCGGTAATACTCAGATACCTGTGGCAGGTAAAAGCGAATCCACTTCTTCCGTTTTTCCAAGCACGACGTCATTCCCGGTCGATTACGAGACAGAGGAACCAGAATATCGGTGAATGATGAAATGTGAACTTATTCTTTGGTGAAACTTTCATTTCTGCAATTTTTAATGATTTTCAAATGTATTTCCGTCAACATTGTTATTGAAAAAAAAATTCTTATATACTCTGTCATACTTTCGTTTCACGATACACCTACGTAATTCATGTCGAATACGACCACAAAGTGATGAAATCAATATCTTATTTAAATCTTCCCTTCGTATGTTGCTTCTCATTGTATGAGGTATGTGTTTAAGGTCATGGCGTTGCACAGAAGTGATGTCATTCAGTAAATCCAGTATTTTGTTGTTTATACACTGCACGCTGGTCGTGATGTATTTATTATATTTGTTTATTTTTTACTTAATAAATTTGTGAAAAATGGCAATGTTTTCTTTTATAATTTCACAGAGAACAACATTTCTTTTTAAAAATTGAATTAAATTATTCTTGCTTGTTTTATAGGCATAAAGCAAAGTTAGATAAAAAGAAATATTTACATTTGCAAATGTTTTTTATATATCACTACTGAAGGCAATGCATATCTATAACTGTAAGAGGTCATAGATGTGCGTATGAATAAACGTTCGACGTAATTTCTCAGTGATGCCATAAAGGGTCGACGCGCGTTCAGTGGATTACATACATGTCGTTGGGTTTGAAAAGTAACGCATTTAACACGTTTAAAGTCACAATCAGGCAAATATAAAGTACGAATAAGTCACAAATGTAAATATAAGTAATAAGTATAAATACGGGTTGGTACGGGGTAAATTCATCATAAAGCCCTTCGGGTTTTATGGAATTTAATTTCGTGTCCAACCCGTATTTATATCCCGATAGATGTTTTAAAATGATACCTTATTTCTTAAATGTTACACACTCGCCTAAAATGAATGCAAGGAGATATGTTATTATGTATTAAAATAGAAAGAACCGAAAAACGAAATGATATATATTTAAGCATAGGTGCATGATATGTATATGATTCTGATAAAGAATTTTGTATAGATCAAGCATCTATTTCAGGCTTCAAAGAAAGAACAGACTCTTACATAAATGCATTTATTCGTAAAATAAACAAATACAGGTATATACATTAACTTAAAAAGATGAAGAAGGCAGGTAAAATGTTTCTAACAGAACAACTTGTGTATGTACAGTGTGATGTCTGGTAAATAATTCAAACCTTTCTACTGTAAAAGAATTTAAACAAAATCATTTACGACCCATAAGCAAATTTGAAATTATAATATTGATTCTTTTCTCAATATCCTTATTCTTCTTAAGTGAATAGACATTGTTTCTGATAATTGTATAAGGCTTGGTCAATGAAGATTTGTTTATGCAAATAAATAAAATAATAAATAAGATAATACTACTTTCTTATCTCAACCATTCATTTTCTGTAGCACCTTTCGTAATAGAATTTCATCATATTCCAATGGCTCTTCGGTAACCATGGTGTTTTTGATAATTCCACTTCCACTTCCGTGATTTACTGACGTCACAGACGCACTTGGTCCATATTTGTCATGTGTTATTTTTATCTTTTTGGTAGTTCCTACATCGAATGTATGTGTCTGGTTTCCTATTTTTAAGAATCCGACGTTTGAATTTTGATTGATATTATTTGATGTTTGACCTTGTCCTGTCATAATGGCGTCAAGTCTTTGGAGTTCCGTCGGAAGTATATCCTTTGCTATCTGTTGAACTAAAGCATCGGACACGCCTGGTCCTAGCACCTGTCTTAGAGCTTCTGAAGGAGTCAAAGGAGTGGTTACTAAGGGAACCGGTGCGGCTGTGGTTGTCAAAGGAATCTGAGCATTATTTATCACTTGAGGACCCGTGGCTGTGGCAGCAAAAGGCTGACCAGTAAGAGAGGGCGGGGATTGTACTGATGAAGCTGAGTTCCTTTGAAGCTGGTTAACGAGATCCTGAATAGAGTTCGTGGCTTTAGCATTTTGGTGACTGTTCGATTGAACTGAATTTAATGAAGCTGTCTGGAGTTGATTCAGAAGGTCTTGAATGACGGCTGCGCTGGGAACATTGTTATTATTGTTAGATTGCGTTGAGGAACTTGGGGATACCTGGAGTTGAGTGATTAGGTCCTGCAGTAATTTTGTGTTTGGATCATTCTGATTTGCATTGAGTTGTGCTGATGTAACAGAAGCTGTCTGGAGTTGGTTTAGAAGATCTTGAATGGAATTACTATTTGGAACATTTTGATTGGAATTCGGAAAACTGCTTGGGTTCGAGTTAACTTGGACATTATTAACTGAACTGCCTGGGGAAACAAGGGTATCTCGAAGTGTCTGAATCATTTGTTGTGAGCTAGGATCTCGCTGGTCACCGAGTACTTCGACACGTGTGTTCCCGATCTGTACATTCAATGGCTTAGCAGAGTTTTGGTTTCGGAGAACCACGATTTTTGGTTGAAATTGGGATCCACTCTGCATTGATGATAAACGAGAAGAATCTTGGGTAAGGGAAAGGTGACGATCATTTAAATTAGCGTTAACATCACTTGATAAAGAACCAAAGTCAGAGAGCCCACGGGTCAGACTAGACCGATCTCGTCCAGACTCAACACGAGAATTTAAAGACGAACTCTGTTCCCTCAGTAGAGAGTTTAAGAGTTGCATCTCTCTTACTACGTGATTCCCTTGCGCTGTGTGTTGGTTTCTGACGTCACTTCCTGGTTGCCGCTCCGGAAAGCCAGATTGAACATTTCGTGAATTAATACCCGTTGATGACCTTGATATTTCTTGGCGCACATTGTTAATGCTAGAGAAAGAGGACCTTCTTCTATCTACGGAATCTCCAGCAGAACTTCTTAATTGAAAACCTCTAGAGTTAAAGCCACTTTCTGACCTTCCATTGTCATTAAAATTCCTGCCAGAGTGAATTGTCAAACCAAGCCGAGGTCGTGTATTCCGAACCCGAACATTTCTAGCAGTTTCTATAGGGGCCGTGTCAAAAGACGAGGGTCGATTTCCCAGCACTGTTTCGGGACCACCTGCAACTGCAAAATCCAGAGACGGTCTGCCTAAATCAAGCCTTCGAATGATCCGCCTCTGTAAGAAAAAAGAACAATCTATACTGCAATCGTGTTCTTATTTATCGAAGATATACATGAGCATTTTAATGAAGTTATTTTAAAAAAGGACATATCTAAAATCAATAAAGTTAGTCTTACAATTTTGCTTTCGAAAGTTTTGTCTTTGCATTCAAAAGCAAAAAATTATTATGCAGTACAAGATTAGTACATTTATAAATAATTTAAAATATATTTCATTTTATTTTTTTATGTTGGTTTTGCTTCAAAAAGTAAATTAATTTTTAAAACATGAAATAAATATTGTTTTAAATAGAATCAAGCCATAAATAAAGAGATTCGCAAGTACATACATGAATATAACTTGAAAATAATCGATCATTGAATGCGAAATATTCTAAAATGAAATGCAGATATGCATATTGAAAGCATACCTGGTGGATGAAAGCAAAAGAATATTTTCTTTAAAACTATATATTGCAGTCCATAAGATATCTAAATAAATTATTTAAAATCGTGAATTGTTTTCATCGCGTACTTCGTCGCATCCTTATGAAAACAAATAACTAAGATAAAGTTCAAATTTCAGGTGATACAAAATTCACTTACCGACCCATGGAACCTTTGAGCACTCGAAAATTGCAGAAACACCCCGAATAGTACCACGCAGAGAACCACGCGCATAATGCCGGCTTTTACATCGAAATTTCGTTTGAGAAAATGGCAGCCAGGGATAGTCAAAGCAGAAAATTAGAATTTTTATCGCCATGTCAGGGATTAGCTTTTACATGGATGTCTAATTATTATTTCGGTAATGCATGTTACGCCATGTTATTACGTAACTCGGCTGGGTTGCGTTGTCTTCGCGCCGTTTTATTGTCTTTCTATTGCGCGCCGTGTTGATTAGGAATGCAGCTCAAGGTATGCATTTCTATCGAATTGCTTTTGTATTTTTGTATCAATGGTAGTGTGGTTCTTTCTAATTTGTTTATAATAGGCAATTTGTATTCTCAATTCTTCTAAACCATTCCCCAATTTAAAAATACTTAAATAGCACATAAAACTTTTGCAATGCTTTGCTTTTCTCATACTGTTGTTGTTTTCGTCAAGTGCATCTTATTGTAAACTTGTTGTTAGGGAGAAGAGCAGTGGATTCAAGTTACATTAGCTGTTTGAATTTCAGACAAACGTGGATATCTACAATATCTGATTTTTCAAAAATAATTTTTAGATATTCTTACACGCTATCGTTTTTACTTTTTTTTCAAAACATAGGGTGACTATTGAGTACCAAGCTTTTTTTTTTTTTACTGTCATTTGTTTCTTTAAAACAGTGTACTCCCAAAACGATACCTATCAAGTTTCCTTTTTGTCTTAAACTCAATTATACATTTAATTTATCATGATATTTTGTCCTTGTAGGTTCTTGTTGCAAACGACAATATCCTTTTTTGATACCCACCATATCATTTTTGTTAATTGAAATCCACCTGCTCATATATTCATAAAACAGACACCGGTTGCTGTAAATTTCACATATTTCAGTGGATATATCTTTGGGAATCTGAACAAGTTTGAAAGCAGCTTTAATGAAGCGCTTAATTTCACTATTGTTTACTGATTCATTACCATTCATTTTTAATGCAATGTCTTGAATTGAACTTGTTTTTTTTAGCTTCTCACAATGCAACTATGTGACGAAAAGTGGTTACATAAAATGTTAGCAATTCATTAAAGATTCAATCATGAGAGAAGGTCAAGTTAAATGTGATATGATTTCTACGTTTTGTCATAGAGTTCAGAACACTATTTATCGAATAGCCCTCGTAAAGCTTTATACGCTTAAAGAGTGAGTAATACACTACAATTTGAAACAAAACTTAAGGAATTAAATTTTGTTATTTTCATTACACTCCATTAAATTTTTGCAAATATCTATTTTCAGGGATTTTTCCTTTTCTTTTCGATGTTTTACCTACTAGGAAAATGTCAGAACCGGCGCCATTACAAAATTTAAAAATTCGCCTTCTCCAACAGGATTTGATTTTCGATTCTTGCGAACCGAATTAAATGTCAAACTCACAATTTAACAATAGCACATTACTTTAAGTATTTATCTTTGAAAAGAAAATTTCATAGGATTTATAAGATTTTAAAATGCCCGAAATAAAAAAAAAGAATTTCGTCAGTCTGATAAAATGGTTCCGTTTAAACGAACCATTAAACTATGATGATGAGTACATGAAGTTTTTAACTATTGAAAAGTTGTGAATTCGACATTCATTCGGTTCGACATTCATGAAAATATCGAAAATCAACCTGAGAATGCGTCTTTTTTTTCGAAGCGGCAAATTCTCAGTTTTCGTTATGGCGCCGGTTAAGATGTTTTCCTGGTACGCAAAGTATCAAATCATGAAAAGGGTGAATAAAGTAATAAAGATTGTTTTTTTTCTGTCATGAATAATATAAATCGGTTTCGATTTGCTTGTTTAACCTGCAAGATAGCGAAAAATTGAAGTGAATCGCAGGAAAATTAGGTCATTCAAATCGAATTATTGGACAATTTTTTTTCTGGAGACAAATATTCTTGAGACATATTTTATGTTGACATAATAATGTTAATCTTTCTTAACGATAATTTTTACACACAAAAAAAAAAGTTTCACAAGCATGATTATAAAAAATTAAAATCTAATTGTTATCCTGGGATTACCGGTAAATTTATTGTTTCATTGTTTCAGCATTCTAAATGGATTTTGTCTTCTTGCTTATAAAAAACAAAAAACAAAAAAGGTATATTTCAGTCATTTTATTATCAAAATTTTCAATAGCTCATCTTGCAAACATCAACAAAGGCAACAAACACAAGCTCACTCTCTTTCTCGTCAAACAAAAATAAACAAACAAAGAAAAAATACCATCAACATAATTTAAAAACATAATTAAAACACGATTAAAACAATTAATAATTAAAAACAAAAATTATACAGTGAGACAGATGACGTCGGACAAATAATACAAATTTTCAAAGAAAAAATGAAGAAAAAAAAATCAAAAGATTTAAAGATTTTTATCCCCAATTACATGTGGTAAAAACTGCATAGCAGTTTCTTTATGTGGTGAGAAAGAAATTAATCTTTGTCAATACCGAAATTCTCCGCTAACGAGAACGATCAGAAATAAGAAGGGAAAGTTTTATGCAGTATATTAATTGATGACTAGTTACCGACGACGGATAGGTATTGAGGCTTGATTATTGTAATTAAGAGCTCTTAGATACATAAGGACAGTTAATATTTCCCCCGGACTATAGTTTTTATATTGGCTCAGAGGTTAATGTTTTTGACCAACGATTACGAACTATATCTCGAAGGAACATATTGTGATAAATAATGAAAACAAATTCTTAGAACAAAGTAATTACTTCTGTGTTAAGATTCTAATAAATTAAGTTTTATGCCTTTGTTTTTCACAATATCTTTTATAAAGTAGGAAGGCAGTGTGCAGATTTTCTTTTGTTTATAATTATAAAAGAACATAGTATGGCATTTTGGAAAGGGACATTTAGATATTCTTTAAGTATTAAAAAAAATAAATGACTTGAAAAAGAAATTCCTCGAAGATATTGCGAAATTGTAATTTAATCAATTGTTTTATTAAAAATAAATAAATAAAGACAATCATTCTTAAATATTCATATATTGAATTTATCCCAACACGGAGTATCGTGACGTTCATATCAAAACGATACATGAAAATGAATGAGCTTTCATCGGATAAATATATTCCTAATAAAGAAACCAAATGCGGATTGGGAATACATGAAAGTTGCTGATCGTGATTTCTGATTTACCCTGTAAGTATGGGTGAATGACAATTCACAGACCATAAACAAAGCATATGTCAGTGGCTTTGCCGGGCTGTAGGTACTCAAAACTTCACCAGAGACAGGCGCGACTGTCTCGCGACATCTTAATTGATTTGTGTCAAGTCTGCGTCCATTGCTTGTCACACGGCTTCCAATCCCGGAAATAGGGCAGTAAAACTAATTTTCAGATTCATAAAAATAAAATGTTCCGGTGTTTTGAAAATTATAAATTGAATGCAAAAATGCAATTGTAAAACGTCAACTGCTGAAATTTAAAAAAAATGAAAACTTTTTTGTTTCGCTGTGGAAAGTTTACAAATAAAGTTTTTTTTATTACAATTTGATGATTTGAAAAGTAATTTTGTACGAAACTGAAAAGGGAAGCTAATTCTGCATTCTTTACTGCACCATCTCATTCCTCGTTTGTGGACAAACCATTTGTAGAATGATCCTCTAGCACTGGGCCACATTCAACGCCAAAACTGCACCTCGAACTTCCAAGGTACGAAACGTTCTCTGTGGAACTGGGGTAAACTCATGCCATCTCACCGGGCTCGGCCTCCATCATTTCTTTTGCTATTGCAGCGGCGGCGGTCTGAATAACTATATTTGATTTTCCTGTACTTGGATCTTTTTTCAGGCCAATGTTTAACTGTCCACCATTAGATTTAATTACTACCGGTTCTTGTGGTAATGTTGCCGGAGTAACACCAAGAGTTGGCGAAAAACTAGAAAAATGACCTTTTATTGCAGATGATAGACTATTAAAATCAAAAGAGTTTGATGCAAGTCCTTTAGAGGAAATTGAATTCAAACCTGGGAGATTTGGAATGCTGTTCATTAAATTTTGATTTCCTGCTAATAAACTCCCCATTAAAATGTCACTGGATGACATTCCCGAAGCAAGTCCAGAATTGAGAAGGTTTGCGGCTCCCGCTGCAACCGGCAATGAACCATCTAGCAGGGAGTTCATAGAGCTGGCCGTGATAAGCTGAGAAATCAGATCCTGTTGAGCGTTTCCAGTGCCATGCCCGCCGTTTCCTCCAAGGGATGTAAGACCGTCAACACCTTGAGTGAGTGCATTTAGTTGGCCGTGTCCCAAATCATGCCCGTGACCATTATTAGCTCCAAATCCCGTTCCTCCTCCTCCAAGACCAGATAAGCCGTGCAAATCATTTCCATTTCCGTTAGCTCCAAAGATTACATTATCAAAAGAATTCCCATTTCCTCCAAGTCCAGAACCATGTCCCCCAGTCATTCCTATGCCATTTCCTCCAAGGTTGTTCATGTCAGCACCAAGTCCATTCCCCCCTAAACCATGTCCTCCAAGGTTGTTTATACCAGAGCCAAGACCATTTCCTCCTAAGCCAGTTCCTCCTAGACCATTTCCTCCTAAGCCAGTTCCTCCAAGACCATTTCCCGCTAAACCATGTCCTCCATGGTGATTCATGCCAGAACCAACTCCATTTCCCCCCAAACCATGCCCTCCTTGGTTGTTTATACCAGAACCAAGACCATTTCCACCTAAAACACCATTATGATGTCCACCATTATGATGTCCATGCCCATGGCCAATTCCTCCGATGCCATGTAAACCATTTTGACCATTGTGACCTCTTAAATGTCCACCATTTCCTTGACCTACCAATCCCCCATTATGTGGATGACCATGACCATGACCCAATAAACCAGCATTCTGCCCATGCCCCAAACCGGCCAAACCAGCAACAGGTGAAAGGGGGGCCACAGCGACACCGCCAACAGGGGCAATAGGGGCAACTTGGGCAACTTGCATACCTGGTTGAGGCATGACTGGTTGAGCCATGATTGGTTGAGGCATCCCTTGGTTTCTTCTTTGAGGATTTGCTGATTGCCGAGGTCGTTTTGAGCCAGATCCTCTTTTTGGTGCTCGACTTTGTACGGATCCTCTGCCTTTGTTTATGATAGATGATGCGCCATTGTTTTGGTTTCCCCCTACAGGCGACATTATATTGGCTGTTTTGGCCAGAATAATCGTTTGTTTGATATGGTTGTTGGTAATTTTCTTGGTATTTTTTACTTTGGTAGATTTTGCAACCTGCTTTTTGGGGGATGAGTTTGCTCGAATGACATTAACATTGGGTGATCGACCACGTGATCTATATCTCACTGCTTGTCTTACTGCAGATGGTCTTCTGTATAGTCTTAGTCTTCTGAGAGCTGATGACGAAACGGGAATGTAGCGTAGGCGCAGTCGTCTTCCCCGTGTTTTCAACCGATTCTAAAAAAAAATACGGAAATAAAATAACTTTTTTTCTAACCTTTAACAGAAGACGGTGAAAATAAAATTATAAAAACATAACAATTGAGATAGTTAAACAGTGTAAATAATTAGATACTATTTTATTCATGTTCAAATATTGAACTTTATAACAGACGCGTGATGAGTTTAAATTTAATTTAATTTATCTTTTTTTTAAATTTTATTTATTTAAAATTGTATCGTTTATTCAATCTTTTTTTAAAAGGTAATATTCAAAAAAAATGTTTACTATACGAGTAGCTATTTTTTTTTTTGCATTGTTTTGTTTTTCTTAATATTTCTTTTCCTTGCGATAATTAATCATTTCTTTATCGTCGCTATTCTACATGATGTAGGATCAAGCAATATTTCATCCTTTCACAAAAATGATAAAATTTTAGAAAAAAATGAAGTTGCTCGTGATTGTGAATTTAAAAGTATTCCTGAAAGATATTTTTTATACAGTGAGTAGTTGCCCATTATATTTTTATCGCAATTTTGTGATTACCAAAACTTGAAATGTGTATTTTTTATTTAGAAAATCGTACAAAATAAATAAAGTAAGTTAATAATTCAATATGAAAATAAGTCTGACTTAAATCATGACTTCAAAATTCAAAGAAATGTCTACTGAGTATTTATTATAAACAAAGTGAAGACCCCTTAAAAAATTATCAGAAAAAAACCATGGCGACCTACTTTTGTAGACAAATTTAGCGCTAAAGTAAGTATATTCTGCGATGACTAACTAAGGAAATGGATTTATTAGACAGTATATTGCATAAGGTCGCGGTTTACGAGTAGCAGTTATTGCTAGAGAAATAAAGCAAGCAAATTTATGACCCGAAGTCCTACTGAGTGAATGGCAGAAATTTGCATTTCCGCAATAAAACCGGCATCAGGCCAGGCGTGAAAATATCTATCAAAAAAAGATAAAAATTGTAAAAATGGCGATTTGTCAATTGAGACTAAACATATCTCTGGTACTGAAGAGCTAGGTACTTTGTTATTAGATTGAACAGGCAGAGTCTTCAATTAAATTTGTTGTTTTATTTCATTATGTTTTTGGTATTGTAATAATACACTCACTGTATATAATAAGTGTTTTATGTGTTTGCTTTGTTCCAGCTTTTTGAATATTTTTGACTTAATGATGGCTTTTTAACTTGATTATCTTGATTTTGTCTTTAAACGATATGGAAAATGCATCCATGTCACAGAAATAAAAAAGGATCATTTGCTGAACAATTGTTTACTTTCATTCTACCAAAACTGAAAAGGTTTCTACTTGTAACATGGTCATGTTTTAAAAGATAACTTTTAAATGATATTTAAATATAGATTGATATTCTTGAGATTCTTCCAATTAGTTTTATTGATAGGCAAAAGAAAGGACATTTTTATAGTTAAAGAGTACAAATCCTTTAAATTTTCTGCACTTGAGATATGTTATTTTTTCTTTTCAAAATTGAAGCTTTGTGTCGAACTGTAATATGAACTAAAACTCTCAATTATTTTCTTTATATTAAATGTCGAGATAACAAAATGGCTAAAACTGAATACTTTGTATAATTTATGAAATCATTTTTGTGCATTAGTTAAAATAGTGCTTTACAAGAAAAAAAAAAACATCTTTTATAAAAAGTATCCCATAGTAGAAATATACAGTGTAGAAACTATGTGTAATCAACTAAAACTCTTTATCTCATTTTTTTTTTAAATTCTTGTGAAATTTATATTTAAAATTGCAATTAAGTTAATGGTAATACATATTGAGAGCATAAATAACACTTTGTTTTATCTATCTATTATTAAACACTTTATAATAAGGTGTATGAAAGGAACTCATTACGAGTAATCATATAAACAAAGATAGTCAAACAAAACAAGAATACATTTCTGATGAATTTCTTCTGTTCGAAGCTTAATGGGCAGTTTAATTTAATTAATTTACTATGAAATGAAACAAAATGATGTTTGGCATGAAATCATTTTTAGAACTAACGTTAGGACCTGCTTTCATGGAATATACGAGCTGCGGATCTAAATCTGCTGACTACAGCATTATGATGAGACAATATACAAGTAGATTATAGTATAGATAAAACTTCTTAAGGACGTTTTGGTCTTCTAGATCAAAGCTCAATTTATTTCTTAAAATCTTGGCTAAAAATTTGTAAAATAAGAAAGAGATTCAATTCCACTTAGACAATAACAGCTTTAGCTACATTTATGCTTGTCAAAGCCTGCAACAGAAGTATTTAGTACTTAAACTTTTTAAAATTTTGAAATTGATTAATGATTGCAATAAAATCAAATTCTTTCGAAGTGTTAGAACGACTTTTAAATTGTATGTTAATTACCTGTGCGGCGTTAAATTCACACAAAAGTAAAAGCATCCACGCAAGCAACACAAAACTTATGTAGCATCTCATGGTTGCAGTGTGAAATATACAACTTAGCACCAGAAATAACAAGTAGGGTGTTAACGGTAAGAAAACACTGTGTATTCACTACACCGGGCACCTGCGATCCCTAATGGTAAACCATTCTCTTGAACAGCTTTATATATCTCATCAAATGTTTATTTATTATGCAGATCTTGGCCCTTCCGTCCGTCTTGCTTTGATATTTTTTGCGGATTTCCTTTTAGTATTTTGAGGCCCCTCTAAAGGGTTGACTCTGAAGTAAAAGAAAATAATATTAATCTTATTTGAATAATGTATATTGATTGCTAAATGAACAATGTAAAAATTGCGTATAAAGTTAAAAGATTTCGGGGATGGTATTTCTCTTTCTGAAGCAGAACTTTGTAATATTACGTCAATAAAAATCTTTTTGTTCATGATTCAGTAAAATCCCTATAACTGATCAGTAACATTTTAAACATTGATCAAAATAATCCTTTAGATCAGGTTTAATGAAATCAATTCGCTAATTCTATGGTCGAAACAATTCAATTGTCAGTAAATACAAATCTTAATTTAATCAAAGGCTGGCTGACTTTTTTGTACTAAATTTTAGCATATTTACACACTGAAGTGTCGACGGATTTCCTCAATCGTATCCCAATCAATTTTTTCGATTATATCAAGGAGCACACGATGTATGAGACCGGTTGACAGGGGATGCTTACTTCTCCATGGCATTTGATTCCACCTCTGATGTTTTGGAGGTCCGTGTTTGCTCTGCTCCTAATTTGCATTGTTTAAAGGACTTTTTTTACTCACAATTCAATTGAAAGAAGTAATAAATAACTCTAGGTTTGGACTTATCAGGATAAAGTTACATTGGATTTTATAATAAATCAGTTTTGGTTTCAGTTATAAGATGCATAGTTCGTGGTACAGATAAAAACTTCAATGAATTCAATAAACCTAGTCTTTTTCTTTTTTATAAAACTGAAATTTTAGGAAACATTTCTTTTGCAAACATTGATCCAAGATGGCTTTACCCAATATTAACTTACAGTCACTATCTGAACATTTGACTTAGTAAAGAGTATATCAGCTTATAAACATTTTAAATGGTTAGGGTTTATCAGTCATATTTTATCAATATTTTCTTATTTCAAAATATTCTTTAATGCTAGCAAGCAAATTTATAAACTAAGCATATTTAAAGAGTGTTAAAGTATAAAATTCCATTTAATGTAGGCCTTTCAACTAATTTTTCAAGTTGCACATATGGTAAAAAACATTGTATAGATAGATTTATAGGTACATAAAATCATCAAAAAAGATATTAACTTATGCATACTTTAATTACCTCATTAAAAAGTTTAATCATTTATAATTGACTTTTCCGATGTTGTGTTTAAGGACAGGTAACTCAGGTGTGAAAAATGACAAACTTAGTGCCGATTTATGAGTTATCGTTTATAAGAATGACATATAGGCTGCTTCAGCATTGGTATTGTTATATACACAAAAGGGTTCCGTACATTGTTTTATACACAAAAAGTTTTGACCAAGAGAAAGAGAATGCGGCTATGCCTTCACTCTACCTGAAATAACAGGGTCAAATGAATGGGGAACAGACTATATTCAATAGTTTTAACTCTCTTCGACGATTATTATTATGAAGAAAATTTAATGTCATGTTTTTTGTGTTCGCGCTTTTTCGCTTCCTGTGTAAATATATATATTTTACAAGTAAATGCAACAATTGATCATCTTATTTGTGTTACTAAGCACGAAGGGGAACGACCGAGTATAAAAATTTAAATAGGTTAGAACTGAGAAGGAGGGTAGATTTCACTTTTTATTTTAATTAAAAATTTTAATTATATGCAGTAAACCGGTGTCCGCAACTATACAGTAAATAAGTTTAACATTGTGCTAAATTTTAAAACCACTGGATTCTACTGAGAGCAAAGAAACTCTTGGGAAATGCTAAAAACTGCCTTGCGTGTAAACAGTTAGATACCCCGAGCCTGCTCTAAACAAGTTTCAGCAGTGAGTTATCGTTCATAACACCGACCCCTAGCGGCAGTTGTAAGGCCTATTTAATGTTTTCAATTTTTCATCGTAGATCTTTATAAAGTTTTCTGAAGGTAAAAATTAAATCAAAAACGCAAATATTATTTTCATTGCATCACATTCCAAAGTTAATAGTGTAATAAGATTAAATTTAATTTGATTGTCTGTTAAATGTATATAACTTTTTTTCTGCGGAAGACGTACCCCGTCGTTGGCCTCAATATTGGACTCACATTGAAGGAATGAGATGACCTACTTTTACATAAGTCTGTATTGTGTTCCGTTGTACTGCACGCTAAGCACAACCCGTTCGCTCGCATGTTTATTACCAATGCTTAGAAATAATCATTGATTGCAGAAGTTTTTTTTGCGCGTGATTGATCATTCTTGTAGGAGACACATTTAAAAAAAAAAAACCACAATAGAGTCGTTGCGTTTTACTCTTATGTATATCCCGTGTTCATAAAGGTGTCTAGAAATCATTGATTTTTAACAGTTTAATTTACATATGGTTTTTATTACTATATAAATGTGTTATTTTTACGTAAGTGCACAAGTCTTTAAAGTTTCTGCCAGTGGCATCTTTTCGTTTGAAGAAACCGTTTTAAAACTGACCTTGTGAATTTTCTGAATTTTTGTGGCCTGCGAAGTCTTACCCTTCAAACTATAGTTATGATGTTGAGAAAAAGGGTTTTAATTTTTAGTTAAACTTTTCTCCAAGTAAAAGATTTTTTCGGACAAAATAACAAATTTAAATGCTTCTTTTCATAACATATTAAAAAAAATGAACCACTGAGTTCAAGAGGAAAACCATGTTCAATTTTTATTTTTATAGACTTATGAAATGCATACTGACACTCACAGTCACATTTCTAGCAATTCAACTTAGTTCGTTATAAAAGAAAAACAACAATGCTCTAACTTGTTATCAATGAAAGTAAAAGTTTTTGGTATCATATGTATAAGGGTCGTTCAATAAATAATGCAAAAATGTCATCAAAAAATAAGAAAAATTCTTAATATTTATCCTTACTCATTTCAATCCATCAAGACATACCCTGTGTTCCTTTACACATTTCTTTTGACTTTGTATACATGAACAGTTAACCTCAGCATACTCATCTTTAACACTGATGAATATCATTACATGACATATATATCTCTGACTTATTATGTTGTTCATATTAATTGCCCTACTGTGTAATATATGTATTATTAAATACCTATGAGAGGTATGTCTCTTGGTCTTGATAAAATTTTAAATCTGACTTTGTATAATCTTCCTTTGTTATTTTTATGTGTTTTGGGAATAGATCTCACAAAGGCTGCGATTTAGCGGATATGGATAATGGAAAGATTTTGAATGTATTTTTTAAGATCTAATTTATTTCTCTAAGCTTATTTGCAGCTGCGTTATCAGGTATATGGAGAATTTTTTGGTCACCGATACTTCGACTTCCTTTGCAGAAAGTGTTTAAATCTCTTTGGTGCAAGTAGAACATAAAAGTAACCATTGCAAGTCTTTTATTTAGATGTATAAATTGTTCATGTTTTAATGGACCTCTTAAATACATGATAACTAACAAAGCATGTTTGGAGCCCTTGCTTTTCTTAAAAAAAATGAAATTATTCCACATGTTTTATTGGTGTTTTATTAAATTTCGGCTATAAAAAGTGCATCTTTGTTTTGTTAATTAATAAAGCAAGCTTACAAAAAAATTTGTGTTGTTAAAACATTTGTTTTTTTTTAAATAGACCGTTGGCACATTTGATGCGTTTTAAGGCATTTGTAAGAGAACGACCCTTATCTGATAGAAATTTTTGTATATTTTTTCCCTTTGTCAAAATTCTACGAAATGCCCTGATAAATAAATTTCTATTAACAATGTCTTTCCATGTAAATCTAGAATTTTCAGATATCAAATGATGTAAACAACATCGATACATTTTTTGTTGTCACTGCATATTTCAATCGACCAGTTTGGCTTTATATTTAAACTCTACCTTTTTTGAATCATTAAATTCAACTGAAAAGTAAACAGAAATAAAGATATATTTTCTACGTATAAAAATCTTGAATGTGAGTTCTTTGGCTATGTATAATGCACAATTTTCACATACGCTTTTATTTGCATCTTCTTGGTGAAGGTAATTTATAAATAGTTTCCATCCCCGTGTTGTAATTATATTCTCTTTAAAAGTTAAATTGTTTGCGAGGACAATAGGAAAATTCATGAGGGTTCACTGTGTTTAGGAGCTCTTTGGTAGAACTTTTAACTGCATTTGAAAAAATGAAATCGAGCTCTTATGGTATGGCAAACTGTAATTTTTTATTTACATTTACATTTGAAAAAATGAATTCAAATGTCTCAACATCTATTATGGTCATGGCAAACTGTATATTGCATTACTTATGTAAAGACCCTCATACATTGATATCAGATACCTAGAAATTTAAGCGCATATAGAGCAATGTTTGATTATTCCATAGTAACGTGGGAAAAATAACAAATTTAGTTCTCTTTGAAAACTGTTTTATAAAAACAAAGATTGGCTCTAGTGGAACATTATAACATGCTGAACTCAAAATTCTGCTTTGAGTTCAGACTTATTTAACCATCAGGGGGAAATTTTATCTGTCACTGCAGATCTCTTTCGAGAGAAAAATTGATTCACTTTTTACTGTGGAATACAAAAGAATAGTGGGTCTTTCGGAAATGATATAATTTCATGAAGGAAAAAGTAGAATGAATCAGTTTTCACGTTTACCTTTTTATTCATTGTTGGTGATATCAGAATCAAGCACGTGTGGCGAACTATCATTTTCTGTCGTGGCCTTCTCCAGTTTTTCTTCCTTATTGTAGCATGTTTATTGACATTTACCATGTACGTACACTTTATGCCTTTACAGCCATAGATTCTAATTACCCCAGTGGCGTGTATTACGTCGACGTTTTCCTGTATTAGTCAAGCATTATAACCTTGGTGTCTTTGGGAGCTCTCCTCGGGTAATGCCTCACACATCAAACGGTCGGTAGCATTGGGGAAAAAATCAAACAGATACAGTA